TCATAAATTGTAACTGTGTAATGTGACTAACGAATTGCCTGCTTTTAAATTTGGTGCTATGAGTTTTCGGTTTTTAAATGACAATGTAATGAATATATGCTTTTGAAATAAAAACTCATTCCGAGTATGTACTTACAATGTTTATTAATGCAAACTTGTTCTCGTCACTATGTGGCTGGAATAATGCCGGATGTGACGTAAAACCAACTCAACTCAACTGTTTAAATGAGCAATTATCATAAAAAAATCAACATGTATTCCAATCATTTTTATGAGTCAAAGGATCCTACAGGTCAGAAAAACTCATGTGGCACCACGAGAAGCTTTATGCACGTGATGAAAACCTATCATTGCAAAAATACAGGGGGTGCTTAATTAAGGTCTTTGTGTATACTATACACTATAACATTTGAAGAGCAGGGCGTTCGTTTTCTCCCTTGATTTCACGTAGACCACTTGTGCTACAGGTTCGATTCCCCACGTGGGTACAATGTACGAAGCCCATTTCTGGTGTCCCCCGCCGTGATATCGCTGGAATATTGCTAAAAGCGGCGTAAAACTAAACTGAATCACTCACGACCAGCCCACGTCAAACGTCATCTTGTAAACTCTAGCAAATGTGCAGGAAGGTTCACTTCGACATCCGGTTTTCCAGATACGTGAAAGATCCTATAAATACACGGCTCGTTTTATTAAGGTTTCCATAATCCGTGGAAAGGGATGATTTTTCTATTTAAAAAAATGCGCCAAATAAGTACTAATTAGCGATATTTCCGGCGTGCCTAAATTATCTGCAGGGGTAATTATGGTACATTGTGCTTGCCCTGAAATGACTGCTGATGACATCACAGAACAGAACACAAGAATCTTGAAATGAATTCCAAACAACTGAGTGTTTTCTGAGGCGTTATGTAGTTCATTCCACTTCAAAGCGACAAATGAAGGACAAGATGATATATAATTTGTATTTATTCGTCTGCAGCAATGTTTGGCAATGAAAGTCTGGAGCAGTCATGGACAATGTGAATGCCCCACACTATCGGAGTAGAATGACATGCCACCAGCCAAGCCAGTGAGTCTGACTGACTGAGCCACTTTGGTCTTACTGCTAGGAACCTATTCCCAGAAATGAATATCAACTCTTTGAGTCTTGCTTCATTTAATTTAGATGGAAACCATGTACTTCCATCATGCAGTCAAGACACACAGGCTGTTGCTTTACATTGTAAAGACTGTGCCATAGCACCAGGGCTGACCTGGACATCAACTCAAAATGCAGTCATAGCCTGGGACGTTTTATTAGCCAAAATTCATTTTGAGAGAATTTATGCTTATCTCCTGAACACCATAAACATGTACAGAGCCAATTGTCTTTGTATTGTGTCAAACAAAAATGACTCAAACGTTTTGAACAAACTCAGGTGCACTCATTTGTGGGAACAAGCATGTGATGTTTCAACTTCTGTTAAAGGATTTAAGCCAGACAGCAGACAAACAGGCCATGACAAGAGGCTCACTTCATGTTCATTCAGGTGAGCTGTAACTCCTACTGGACAGCTGTTAGCTATCCACTCGCTTGATTCCTACTCTGGAACTGATAGTCAAAATTGCAGGACAAGTATGCTACTTCATTAATTTGAGTGAGTGAGTATGGTTTTACATCGCTTTTAGCAATATTCCAGCAACATCACGATGGTGGACACTCGTCAATTTGATAAATGTAACACTTGCCATGTCAAACATCGAACCAACTTATTCTTCCATGACAATAACACTGTACACCACTACCTGCCACAGGCATTTGCAGCAAGTGTGCATTGTCCTCACCAATTCTGGTCTGAAGAACATTATAATGCAGTCAGTATGGATGGTTGATGTTTCCATGGAAACACACAATCAGTGAATGATCTTGCAAAAATTAAAATGTAAATTTAAAATAGTAAATAATAAAAAAACGATAGAGAATATTTCAAAAGCTTTATTATGTACAATTGTATATACAGTTGGTCCAGAGCAGATCTAAGGAAGAACATGATCACCACAGGGATCAGTCCTCGAGGATCTGTATCTACAGCAGACGTAACTAGCTACACACATGAGTAACACAATCAGTCGTGAGCACTTGGAAATATCCCCCTTGTTGTATTCAGATTCATGAGCACATTTTGATCTTCAGCACAAGATATTCTGGATGCTGGAGTTACGTACAAAAACAGGATGACAAGCACAAAGCAACAGCAGACATGATGTCATGCAAGCAGGCTGGTTACTGTTTGTTACACTGTGTACAATTTTGAAATAAAAAAACTTTTTTACCCTGGAATTCACTGCCATGTTCATCACAAAACTTCTTGTTCAGCCTTTGATGCAATAAACATGTAAGACTTGTTCCGAAAGTATATTCTGAAAATATTTGTAAAGAGCTGATAATTGAATTTGGTTGATGCAGAGATTAAGGTGCTTGAATTCAAGCTATAGCTACTGCAAGAAGGGAACATAAAGTTTACAGTACAGAAAGCAGTCAAACCCTGAAGTAGCACTCTCACTCTTGACAAACACATATGACTGTATAACATCTACAACCCAACCCCTCACATGGATAATTGTAGGTTTGGGACACTAAGGGGCGGTACACACTGTCCCAAACAATCACCATGTTCAACCAAGAGGCCACTCCACAAAACAGTCTCACATGTTGCACAAGAAAACTCGTGCAATAGCTGTTCATGACCTGGAGTGAGTGAGTGAGTGAGTTTAGGTTGACATTAGGCTGAGTACAGTGAAGGTGTAACAGACACTGACTGGGAGCACTTCGGGTGAACAGAGTGCGGAATATATTTACAAAGAAAGTACACCCAATATAGGATTACATATGTACATAAAACAACATAACAAATAAGCATGTGTCTTAAAACAACAGGATTCAATATAGGAATTCACTTTTCCACAAGCACAAACAGAAGCATCTATACTCCACAATTTGTCGCTTCATCCAGCACTCGAAGTTACGTAAACCTAAAATATTGCTAATAATAAAGAAACTCACAAAAGATATAAAACTGCAGAATTCAAAATGTTTTAGTACCCTAAACCTGCAACAGCACTTTTTTTTAATAAGCACATGTGACAAATTAGATAAACTTTCTGTGAGCACTTGGTTCTCACTCCTGCAATCTCAATCAACAAACATTTCTATATATCTTACATAAACGCTGCATACACTTGTATAATAACATTTGCAAAAGCCAATGTGCAAATACATTTATCTTTGTCATCATAAGGATCGTGTTAATAATATTATGAAATCGAAATAATAAAGAAAGTGGATTACATTATGACTAATTTTTAAAGACTATAAATCATGTTACTATAATAATCTTGCATACAAAATATGATCAATGCTCCCCAGTACTCACAATCATATTTTCCAACATTGCTATCTTGATCTGGTTTCGTTTCATTATAGAATACGCTACCAGCATATCATTTCGCTACTTATAACAATGCTTGGAACTTTCAAGTAACTGCTGGAGTAATCACCAGGTCCCTTCCCCCCTTGTGATTCTGATTGAATCAAATATGATAGATGGGTATTAAGAACCAGCAGGGAACACAGGAATATGCCTTCCCTACTCACCGCATCTACAATTCTAACAATTCTTCGAAAACGAGAGTTCTGGTGAGTATTCCACACAAGTGGCATATTGAGTACTTCATATAAAATCCCTGTTAACAAGCCTTAAATAACGTCAGGACCCTGTTCCTAAAATGAATATACTGCCACTTCACTGAACACTTGACTTGGTCCTGACATGATCTTTTTGTGCAGTGGCACAGTTGCTTCATCACTGATGCCAGGAAACAACATGGCAAGCACCCTTTGTGCAGTGGCACAGTTGCTTCATCACTGATGCCAGGAAACAACATGGCAAGCAGCCTTTGTGCAGTGGCACAGTTGCTTCATCACTGATGCCAGGAAACAACATGGCAAGCAGCCTTTGTGCAGTGGCACAGTTGCTTCATCACTGATGCCAGGAAACAACATGGCAAGCACCCTTTGTGCAGTGGCACAGTTGCTTCATCACTGATGCCAGGAAACAACATGGCAAGCACCTGCCAGGAAACAACATTTTGTGCAGTGGCACAGTTGCTTCATCACTGATGCCAGGAAACAACATGGCAAGCAGCCTTTGTGCAGTGGCACAGTTGCTTCATCACTGATGCCAGGAAACAACATGGCAGTTGCACAGTTGCTTCATCACTGATCACATCACTGATGCCAGGACTGATGCCAGGAAACAACATAGCAAGCACCCCTTTGTGCAGTGGCACAGTTGCTTCATCACTGATGCCAGGAAACAACATTTGTGCAGTGGCACAGTTGCTTCATCACTGATGCCAGGAAACAACATGGCAAGCAGCCTTTGTGCAGTGGCACAGTTGCTTCATCACTGATGCCAGGAAACAACATGACAAGCAGCCTTTGTGCAGTGGCACAGTTGCTTCATCACTGATGCCAGGAAACAACATGACAAGCAGCCTTTGTGCAGTGGCACAGTTGCTTCATCACTGATGCCAGGAAACAACATGGCAAGCAGCCTTTGTGCAGTGGCACAGCTGCTTCATCACTGATGCCAGGAAACAACATGGCAAGCACCCTTTGTGCAGTGGCACAGTTGCTTCATCACTGATGCCAGGAAACAACACAACATGGCACAGTTGCTTCATCAAGCAGGAAACAACATGGCAAGCAGCCCTTTGTGCAGTGGCACAGCTGCTTCATCACTGATGCCAGGAAACAACATGGCAAGCAGCCTTTGTGCAGTGGCACAGTTGCTTCATCACTGATGCCAGGAAACAACATGACAAGCAGCCTTTGTGCAGTGGCACAGTTGCTTCATCACTGATGCCAGGAAACAACATGCAGAAGCAAGCAGCCTTTGTGCAGTGGCACAGCTGCTTCATCACTGATGCCAGGAAACAAATGGCATGGCAAGCAGCCTTTGTGCAGTGGCACAGCTGCTTCATCACTGATGCCAGGAAACAACATGGCAAGCAGCCTTTGTGCAGTGGCACAGCTGCTTCATCACTGATGCCAGGAAACAACATGGCAAGCAGCCTTTGTGCAGTGGCACAGCTGCTTCATCACTGATGCCAGGAAACAACATGGCAAGCAGCCTTTGTGCAGTGGCACAGCTGCTTCATCACTGATGCCAGGAAACAACATGGCAAGCAGCCTTTGTGCAGTGGCACAGTTGCTTCATCACTGATGCCAGGAAACAACATGGCAAGCAGCCTTTGTGCAGGACAGTAAAAAGTGTTCATCACCAACTGGAAATGTACAAATGATGAGTACAGTTTTGAGGCATTGGCACATTGGTGTTGAAGCAGAACCTTACATACCTGCCTTGTTTGTTACAGGTGCTCTCTAGCTTATACTGAATGGCACATATTCCTAACCATAGTCCCAGAAAGTTAATGCTGACCCATATACATATGGAAATGAATGATATGTGTTGCATAGATATAAACCTCTATATGATCTTCAAGTCAGCTAAACTGTGTGGCATCAAGCTTGCACTGAGTACTACAAACACGCACTGTAGTTTTACTCTGCATGGCACGAAATACGCGAAATTATCACAGGGTGTGAAACTGGTTTCACTTGTGAAGTGTGTATAATGTGGAAATACATTATTGTTAACAAATGATGACAGTGGTTTTTATACATAGTTTCATTACAGCATGATTCTTCATTCTGCAGAGTCCTGTAGGATAATGTTCACAAAGGAAACAGTATCACACACTGATGAATGGACAATGCAAGTGACTCCAGTGCTAGGCACTGGCGAGCTGGGTTATATCTCTGAATTACGATTTGACAAGGGTACATTTCTGGAGTATGCCAAGCAACAACGCCTTTATCTAGAGTCTTGAAACGAGATGTGCATGGCTTACTGACCACACTGCTGACAGGGCCAGGACAGATCCCATCCTCAGACTCCTTCCCCTTAACTGCTGTAGAATTTCAATTTCTGGCCTTTACGTGGAATAAACACATAGCAGGAAAGATCAGACAGTACATTCTAACAAGCCTCAAAAAACAATAGAACATTGGGCTGCCTGCCCATACCAGACTTCCAAATTAGCTGCCGTAGTACCCTCTATGTTTTGCATCACAGCAACCTTTGGCTTGACTAGGGAAGACAGAGTAGATGACAGACATGACTACTGGCTGTTACACATGTCAAAAAAACCCTTGTGGTCCAATATTGTGATATACTTCAGTAATCAATGTGCCTGGTGAGTGTATTTGGAGCACCAACATTAATGATTCAAATTGCATGTCCCTCCCAGCAGAATGAAGAATTAGTTACATAGTTGGGATTCTTAATGAACAATGGACATGAAATCAACGAAAATCTTAGTAGCAGGAATCTGATTTCCATTTCATAGAAAAATACCATCCAAAAATATATATGGTCCCAATCTCTTGATGAAATAACCTGATTAGCTGTGACATACAGACATTAAATCGGTTTCCAGGACATAAAATAAAACCAGTTGTAGGTGTTTCAGCCTTATAAAGCACTAGATACCAAATTGACCTGTCAGCTATTCCAAGATTCTTGTTGTGGTTCTAGTAATTACTTATTTCTTCCAATGTAAGGCACAAACTGTTTTGATAAGTCACTGTTGAACACACTGGTAAAATATGCAATCTTCCTTTTTTAAATGTTTTGACAATATCCAAAACCAAAATGGAGCATATCAACTGTACACATGATTTTGTACAATATGTCAAGACACCAACTGTAAAATAGCTCGTTATGCCAAGGGAAGCAAGGATACTGCCAAACTGTGGGCAGCACAACAGAAGAAGGCCCAGTCAACAAAAGGGTAACACCAAATTTATGCATGAAAACAATAAGTGGTTGTTTCTACAACTCCTGGGAAGGTCAAGGTTACTCCTGGGAAGGTCAAGGTTGTAAAAGCAATTACTCCATTCTGTTGAAAATTATTTATGTAAGACTAAATATTGTTAAAAAGTGTGACCCAAAAGAACAGTAAAAAGGAGGGCTTATCTTTTAGTAAACTGAAAGACAAAGACTCCCTGCCCACTAATCTAAGTGACCTGTCCCTGAGAGAAGGCTGACCATGTAGAGTTGTATCCTTGCCCCCTTACTGCTCCTAAGTTCAGCCTGTGCAGGACTATAGGTTGCCATCATCCATCATCTTGTGCATGTCTTTAACTATGGCATCAAACGTCTCCGAGTATTTACTGTCTGACTGGAAAACAGCATTCAGTAGGTCAGGCTGAGCAAAGAAGTTAAACACAATGTCCACCCGAGTTTTGGACTTGTCAGTAAGATGCCGAGCTATGAGCTTTTGAAGCAAGGCTTTACACTCCTCCAATGTCTTGCACAGATAACTCACATCAAACGTGAAATCCACTTCATGGAAACTGATAACTGTCATGGCCAGTGAATGAAACTTGGTTTTGAAGCTTTCAACAACTTTCAGGTCTTCTGCGTTGAATTGATCATTACGAAACAAAATCCCAACTTTGACAACTGTTTTGATAATGTACTTCATTACTTTTTCAGCTTCTTTTTTTGTGCTGGCATAATCTTTGATAATTCTGTGTGTGTTGTCCAGCACTCGGCCCGTTGTTTCATCTATGAAGACCTTGGCAATGGACTTGCTGGACATTTTCCCAAGGAGGTTCTTCTGTACCCGCAGTCCCATTCCCCGGGAGTCAAACCCTGCCCCTGGCTCTGCCACTGAAACATCAGAGCACATCTCTCAGAACACAGAAGAAGATACATTGCTTTCAACATGCATTAACAACTAACAAGTCTATCCTTCAAACAGTTGTACATGTCTCAGAAACAGCTGCTTTGAGGTAGCATCGGCAAGAATGCATTAAACTTCTAAAAGAAGATTGAGTCATGAACTGATACTACATTATTAAGAGAGTTTTCCCCCAAATCATCATGAGTCTTGACACCTTCAATGCCCACCAAATGAAACTATTAAGGGGCAGTGGGTTAAGCTAATGGTTCAATTCCCCACATGGGTACTATGTGTGAATCCTATTTCTGGTGTCTCCCACCATGATATTGCTGGAGTATATTGCTAAAGAGGTGTAAATCTGAACTGACTTACTCACTCACTGAAACTATTTAGAGCATTCTTCTCCATATAACTCAGGCCTACCATACAAACGGTGAACAAATCATCAAAACTGAACTCATATACACCAAAACAGAACAAAAACCACCAAAACTGCAACAATATCCTCTAAAACCGAAACAATACATCTGTAATGGAAGACAAATCGTTTGAAATGGTAACAAAACTCGCATATCAGCTACAAGAGCGCGCGAGAACGGTCGCCGAGCGTACAAAACGGCATTCATAGCAACCAAACACGACAGTCATAGCATCCCGAAACGGCATACAAATCGTCAAAGACAGCGGCGAGGGGAGACGAATAGGCTTTGGTACATAATTGTTTTTCGTCACTATGAATCTAATTTTGAAAATTTGATATCGGGATGTAGCGCATAAACCCTCTCTTGTAGTAAGCTTCAAACCTATGTCCATACTTCTCAGTGTCAGGCTTGCAATTCTGCACAATGTGGTCCCTGGTTCGACCGAATAGGATTTCTTGTCAACAGTTTCTCTTCAATTTTGTAAATAAAGTATTCATAGCATCACATTCAACATTACTATATTTTAGTGATTTAAAAAGTTTACAAAAACTTTGTTCATTTTCTGTGAATTGAATCATTTTTAAAGTGTACGAGTGCAAACTCAATCCACTGATTAGGGCAGGGATTTCTGTTTCAAGTCCACAGGAGGCGACTTCTTGAGACTTACAACAACAAAGACGGACGCATGTTTGTACCTCAAGTTAAGCTTTATTTTTTGTTAAATGATGTAAAATGTTTGGGATTGCATGGAATACTTTGAAGTACATGGATAAGATAAAATTGCAGAATGATAAAATCTTCCTGACACAAAATTCACAGTTGAAATTATAAGCAAGTTCATGTTTCCTTCTCTGATGAGAACGCAATGTTACCCGATTTTTGAACTTCTCTCTTTATATGGCATACACTTAAACGTTGGAATTTTCGGAAGGTTCGGTATCACAGAGATATCTGAAAGAACTATATTCACTGAATGACTTCATAAAAGTAAGATGAAACTAGAAGATCTTCGTCTGAGAACATGAACATACGTGCAGTGTGAAGCGGTGGCATACAAACATACAAACTAAGAAGAATATGTCAGATGACGAGAGGACTGACACGTCTCTCTCAGGAATCTGTGAATACAAGTTTGAGAATTAAAAAAAAGGCAGTTTGGGAAGTCAAAGTAGATTATCACTTAGATATGCAATTCAGGGAGAATGAACAAAGTTTTTGTAAACTTTTTAAATCACTAAAATATAGTAATGTTGAATGTGATGCTATGAATACTTTATTTACAAAACTGAAGAGAAACTGTAGCACGGCATGTTGACAAGAAATCCTATTCGGTCGAACCAGGGACCACATTGTGCAGAATTGCAAGCCTGACACTGAGAAGTATGGACATAGGTTTGAAGCTTACAAGAGGGGGTTTATGCGCTACATCCCGATATCAAATTTTCAAGATTAGATTCATAGTGACGAAAAACAATTATGTACCAAAGCCTATTCGTCTCCCCTCGCCGCCATCTTTGACGATTTGTATGCCGTTTCGGGATGCTATGACTGCCGTGTTGGGATGCTATGAATGCTGTTTTGTACGCTCGGCGACCGTTCTCGCGCGCTCTTGTAGCTGATATGCGAGTTTTGTTTCCATTTCAAACGATTTGTCTTCCATTACAGATGTATTGTTTCGGTTTTAGAGGATATTGTTGCAGTTTTGGTGGTTTTTGTTCTGTTTTGGTGTATATGAGTTCAGTTTTGATGATTTGTTCACCGTTTGTATGGTAGGCCTGTTACTCAAAGTCACGAGACCATCCTGCCCACTGAACTAAATTAAGAGAGTTCTCCCCAAATTATTCAGTCATGACACCGTCAATGTCCTCTAGCGAGTAGTTGTAGTGAGGTCAGTTTTACGCCACACTCAGCAATGTCGACGGTCTGTAAATAATCAAGTCTGGACCAGACAATCCAGTGAGCAACAGCATGAGCATCATTCTACGCAAAGTCAGTGAGCCTGACCACCCGATCCCATTAGTCGCCTCTTATGACAAGCATGGGCTACTGAAGATCAAGTCTTACATTGCCCAGTAATCCAAATTACTCCGCGGGTTCTTCATCATATTATTGGATATGATGGAACCACAATGAGCATGGACTGAACATGTTAGGAGAATTCTTCCAGAAATTATCCATATGAATCATAAGTCAACAGTGAAATGGACGCTGGTTCTGCCACAAGGTACCTTCTGGCACCCCTCCCACTATCTACAGATGACAGTCCCCGCTTCTCTTAGATCACACTGTGTGCACACTTGACAACTGCAGATGTGAACTTCGCATGTGATCAGCGATTGATCTGCGGGCTACTGTTCTTTGAAACCAGTGCAAATGGTTGTTTTGATAAAGATAAGGGCCGGTGCTAACTATCACATAGTGAGTGTTGCTGGTAGTTGGTCAGATACAGTGATCTAAAGCAGTATTTGAAACATGTTGATATTTAACAAGCTGCACGTCCCATGGGTTTTTCTGGTGGTGTTCCATTTTTCTGTTTGCCAATGTTAGTTGTAGATAAATATAGAAAAATACAATATTTCTCGAACTGTAAGATGTCGTCAGTGTAAATTAGCCTGAATTTGTGATTTGGCATCAAAATTAGGACATTACAGTGGTACAGACTTAAGCTCTATTCCAAGTCACAAACATTTATAGCCTGATATTCATCAACAAAAGTGACCAACAAGGCTTTTCAATTAATGTCAGCACAGACAATACATTAACTACCTGGTTCATCAGGAGTGAGTGAGTTTAGGTTTATGCTGCTTTAAGCAATATTCCAGCAATTTCACAGTGGGGGACACCAGAAATGGGCTTCACTTAAAACACCCATGTAGGGAATTGATCCCAGGTCATCAGCGTGACAAGTGAATGCCTTAACCACTAGGCTACCCCACCACCCCCGGGTTCATCAAGACTCACGAGAATTAATTCATTGTATCAACTCACAGATCACTTACAGGTTGTCAAAATAAACGCAAATGTTTTCATATCCTAAACACATAGTATAATGTATCTAATGATAGGGCATGCCAGGGGTGGAAATAACTCATTGCCCGACGCCCCAGTCCAGTGTTTTTTTCTGTTGGGCAAGCAAATTTGTATATCACACTGAACCGGTGTCCAGTTGACTTTCCAATGTTAATTATGTTGTTTATTCAAAAAAATCAACAGGAAAATCATCCAGTATAGTGGAAAAATTATCAGGGCAAGTGATTTTACATGTGCCACTGTACCGAGTACACTAGCAACTTTAAAGTTATTTCCACCCCTGCATGCATTCTTGTCTAAAGCCAGTGTTTATACTGAAATGAGAATGTTGCATATTGTTATTGAGCAGGAAGATTTTTCAATATGTGCAATGTGGTAACATATCGACATGACCAACACCAATACTGGTCTCTTCACTTAATTCAGTTCATCGTCACTACATACTACAACCGTGCCATGTCTAAAGTGAAGAGATGTTGAGATGATTCAGCATCAGCCTGGCTGGCTCCCAGTACTTACTGTTGTGTGGCCTCTGTGTATATCGTCAGAGTGTCTGCAGCACCACAGGGTAGTGAGCTATCATGCGTGGAGTGCTAGATGTCGAGGTGGGCTGGGGGGTTCGAGCCACAGTGGCAGCCGCTGGGTCAGGATGCTTGAGTAGCTGCTGCTGCTGCTGCTGCACACACCTGGAACATGTCCACCACAGTTATAACTTTCAGGTACACACCTGGAACATGTCCACCATGGATACCACTTTTAGGCGCCACACACCTGGAATATGTCCACCACAGTTATAACTCTCAGGCACACACCTGCAACATGTCCACCACAGTCATAACTTTCAGGCACCACACATCTGCAACATTTTCACCACAATTATAACTCTCAGGCACACACCTGCAACATGTCCACCACAGTTATAACTCTCAGGCACACACCTGCAACATGTCCACCACAGTTATAACTTTCAGGCACACACCTAGAACATGTCCACCATGGATACCACTTTTAGGCGCCACACACCTGGAATATGTCCACCACAGTTATAACTCTCAGGCACACACCTGCAACATGTCCACCACAGTTATAACTTTCAGGTACACACCTGGAACATGTCCACCATGGATACCACTTTTAGGCGCCACACACCTGGAATATGTCCACCACAGTTATAACTCTCAGGCACACACCTGGAACATGTTCACCATAGTCATAACTCTCAGGCACCACACATCTGCAACATGTTCACCACAATTGTAACTCTCAGGCACACACCTGCAACATGTCCACCTAAGTTATAACTCTCAGGCAGAACACCTGGAACATGTCCACCATGTATATCACTTTCAGGTACACACCTTGAACATGTCCACCACATATAACATTCTTAAGAAGCACACACCTGGAATATGTCCACCACAGTTATAACTCTCAAGCACACACCTGGAATATGTCCACCACAGTTATAACTCTCAGGCACACACCTGGAATATGTCCACCACAGTTATAACTCTCAGGCACACACCTGGAATATGTCCACCACAGTCCTAACTCTCAGGCACCACACATCTGCAACATGTTCACCACAATTATAACTCTCAGGCACACACCTGCAACATGTCCACCTAAGTTATAACTCTCAGGCAGAACACCTGGAACATGTCCACCATGGATATCACTCTCAGGCACACACCTTGAACATGTCCACCACATATAACATTCTTAAGAAGCACACACCTGGAATATGTCCACCAGACCTAAATTCCTCAGGCAGCACACACATAGAGCACAACCATGCATGCCATGAAAATGGAAAGAACATACTTCTTAACATTTCCCAAATGGCTGTAGCCACCTTGTGGAAATCTTATCTCTGTGTGCGCAACATTTCATGAAGCAATACCTATTGGTTAAAGAGGTGTGATCAGGACAAAATATCACTGTGGATGGACAGACAAGCTGAAAATTACATACCCCAGGTATTATATACTCGAGGATGAAAAGTAGGGAGAAAAAAAAAAATGAATGCAACTTTTCACATGTAGTCACAATGAAGAACGCAGGTTTCAACAATTACAATGTGTCAACTTCACAGAACAGACAGGTTTCAACAATTACAATGTGTCAACTTCACAGAACAGACATGATCAGACATCTCATCCATAATGCATTCATAACAATAAAGATAAAAACATCCATTGGTGCAGGTGTTCTATAGGCAAGATATCAACTGTAGAATCCTTCCCCATGATGCTGGCATGTTTTACTAAACACTTTCTTATTACACTGTTTTACTACACTTACTTATTACTCTGTTTTCTGAAACAACACTTACTTATTACACTGTTTTACTAAAACTACTACTTACTTATTACACTGTTTTACTGTTATACTAAACACTTAAACACTTACTTTATTACACTGTTTTACAAAACACTTACTTATTACTCTGTTTTACAAAACACTGTTTTACTAAACACTTACTTATTACTCTGTTTTACTAAAACTTACTTATTACTTACTTATTACACTGTTTTACTTAAACACTATACTTATACTTATTACACTGTTTTACTAAACACTTACTTATTACACTACTAAACACTACTTATTTACTAAACACTTACTTATTACACTGTTATACTAAACACTTACTTATTACACTGTTTTACTAAACACTTACTTATTACACTGTTATACTAAACACTTACTTATTACACTGTTTTACAAAACACTTACTTATTACTCTGTTTTACAAAACACTTACTTATTACACTGTTTTACAACTGCTAAGAATTGTCCACTGCAACCCATTTTCTGTGAAATATTAGTCTGAAAGTTCAAAGTTTACAGGAATGAATGTGAATACCAGAAAACTACTTGTCATCTGTTGCATCAACAGCAGCTTATGTCCTCATTAACCAATATATCAACCTCACAAATAAGAAAAGAATAATTAAAACTGTACCTGTCATAAGACAAACAAACATGTTTGAAATAACACAATACTTTGAAATATAACACAAATTATTCCAATACACCTGTTGTCGCAATAGATAAATCATATGCGACAGTAAGTATCATCAGTGGGGCTGTGGACTAGCCATGTGGTTAAAGTATTTGCTTGTCATGCTGAAGACATGGGTTCGATTCCCCACATGGGTGCAATGTGTGAAGCCCATTTCTGGTGTCCCCTCATAGTGATATTGCTGGAATATTGCTAAAAGCAGCGTAAAACCACACTCACTCACTCAGTATCATCAGTCTAGCATGTGGTAAATGTTTTTAGGATATTTTTCATATTGTTACATTAGGGCATATTTAAAGTAGATAATAGTATCAAATTCCCAGAGACGTACTTGATGATGGTCCCTCTGATTAGGCAAACATCACTTGTCTGCCATCATGCTATAAACCTGTAATTTACACCACCTCCCTGTTGCAGGGACCCAGGCCAGCTGGTATTGATTAGCTGATGTATGTATGTCAACATGGCCCCATTCATGGGGGTGGGGGCTGGGGTGGGGAGATAGGTGATTTATGGCATATTCTGCCACTCCGTGTCAGGTCAATACGCAACACATTAAAGCAGTCAGAAGTAGGCTACTTTACAATATTAACAGAATTGTCTTATTAACACCACCATGTGCAGCTTCTCACTGGGAAAGCCAGAACTGAGTTTTACAAATGGTTTTTACTCACTTCCCAGCAGGATGTCTGGTTTTATATACATGGCAAACTGTGCCCAGCAAATTGTTCTACCTTGGACTGCTGGGTCTCCTGTGTCTTTGTTCCAGTTTCCCGACGTTATGCATATTTTTATTCCATATTGGGTAAAGCCAATGGAAAAAACTGTATCAGGGTCTTACTGACACAGAAATGTGTACCCAGTATGCTCAGAATGTCTGGAATCGTTGCAGAAACAGTGAAACAATACATGTTAAATCTCATGGACCATGGAAATTAATTATTGAGGGTCCTGTGGACATTAGTGTTTGGGGTTTGTTTTGTCAATCTTAAAATCTCAGGTATCTGGAAAATATTGCAAATAATATATTTTTAGGTAGGTACTACTTTAAGTGTTTACAAACAAGGCATCAGAGATCGAGAAGGAATTCACAAACAGGAATAAATGTCTGTTGACTGAACATAATGAAAAAATGTTTTGGTTGTAACATATTGTTTATTGTCACTCTTCAACTGACTAATTGCCTTGTGGCATATTATATAGATGTTACAGTTGATCAGATGTACAAAATCAAGATCTAATCAACATACAGAAGGTGACTTGTACACAGATTACAGGCTACAGAACGTTGACGTCGCAGGTTAAATACCAGTTGTACTAAACATGGTTGAATCCTACAGACAGTGTAATATTGGAGACAATAAATCAATACATGTACAAACACTATGTACCTTAGTTAATCTGGCATCTAAACTAATATATCAAGTCCTTATCATTGTCAAAACTCGTAAGACTTTCAAAACGTACAAACTGAAAAGTGAAAGTTGTCAGAAGTTGTTCTGGGTGAAACTCGGACTAACCCCAGCACTGTCAGGATAAACATGATTCCCACCCCATGAATTGAGATACTTGTGTGTACAGATATCTCTAACATCAGTTTATTTAGCTTATGAATCATTTCATGCAAACAGGCTTCCAACACGGAAAGGGGAGATTATTTCAGGGGAAGATTCAAGGCGTACATGCAGACACTCTTGTTCTCACCCAGTTCATATAAAGAGCAATTTGTTCGAGTTTCGAAATCTTCACAGAGGCCACATGGAGAGATTGGAATGGTAAATACTGGCATCAGTGTGCCATGTTGATAGATGGTCCAGTTCCTGGAGGCTGGTGGCAGCCTTGGTTCATACCTTCATTTAAACTCTACAGGCTTCACTACCAGGTTTCAGGAGATATCCTCAGGACTCAAGACTTCTACAGATAGCACCAGAAAACACTGCCGCCAATATATCTTCATTAAATAAATACACTAACAAGTTAGTCATACGTTAGTTCTATGTGGAGTCTATGAAACCTAAACTAATCTAGATTAAAGAAGATAGTCCCACAGCACTGTACTTACTTTGAAATTGTCCTCAACATTTTTCTAATATTAATCAAGAGTGCCCTTTACCACTGTTGCTCACTCCACTGCTTTCCCATATTTACAGAGTAAATAATGAGGCCAAAAGTATTACCAACTATAAAAGCAGTACCTCCATGTGTACAATATCTACAAATCTGCAAGAATGAATGTACTGTTCTAGAACATTGATGCAATGCACAACAATTACATTTAGTTTACATCAAATTCCAGCTGTTCACTTAATGCCATATAATTTGTTCAGCTGTTTCACAAAACACGGGAAAATCCCTTTGATTTGGACCAAATAACATGTCATCATACTCAGATGATAATGAGAAACATACATGCCACAGTTCAGATTCTTCAGCAGCTTCCTCAGTCAGGTAATTCCACAGAAGATGTGTAGAATGTCAAGGTGCTTTTACCGACCTGAACAGCATTACATAACAGGCAAGCACTGGCCATTACAAAGGTTTATCAAAGAAGCTACAACAGTGGTAATTTGGAAAATCAGCTTTGAACCTCTTGAACAAATTGAGATGTCATCATTGATAGGAATAAGGAGGTGAGTTTCAGCTTTATCAGTCAAGTTG